TGTGTGTGTGTGTGTGTGTGTGTGTGTGTGTGTGTGTGTGTGTGTGTGTGTGTGTGTGTGTGTGTGTGTGTGTCAGCCACACAACCTAAAATAGTCCTGCTGCGTGTCGCTGACCTCCAGATAAAAATAGAGCCTGGACATCACCACAGGAAAGACCCCCCTCAGTGTTTACACAGGAACAGCTTATCTGGTCGTTACAACAGAACTAAAGGACACAATGAATAAACATCAACGATGAACTATTAATGACTACGAGGAAATGCTTGTTTGCTAGGATGAAGCATCTCAGTCAGTAACGTGATGAATGTTGTTGAATCAGGTTTATTTTAATATGTGAAATAATGACCGAATGAATTCAAGAAATTCAATGTAATCAAGTCATTTAATTAAAACAATGAAACGTCAAATACTAAATTCAGTGAGCATTACACTTAAATAAAAGTATATTTTTGGTTGGTCCTTTATTTTATTTAATCTAAAAATAACTAAAAATACATAACAGACATTAAGTGTGTTTTTTAATTAAATTTAGTTCAAGATGACATTAAAGTAAAGATTTACATTTTTTAACTACGCCTTTAGTAGACTACAGAATAGAATTATAATCTATTTAATGTCTTTTAAACGGAAATTAAACTTATTTCATCCAGTCTGTCTCTTTATGAATCAACATGTAATATTTATCAGTTCTACTGTTTAATCATGTGTTGCAGAAAAAAATCTTCATCATGTTGGAATAGAATAGAATACAGTAGAATAGAATAGAATGAGTGCCTTGATGGCTGAAGGCCGCGGCTCTTCTTTTATTTGTGGGAGAATTGTTGTTGCTGCGGTGACTGACAGAGAAGCGCGAGGAACGTCCCCGAGCGCCTCTCACGGTCATCGGTCGGCGACTGTGTTTTTATTATTGATCTTTGATTTCTTGATCAGTCTTTGTTAGTTCTTGGGTTTTGCTTCCATCGAATGTCCTGTGTAAGTATTTCTTGTTTTACTTTGAAGGTCTTGTCTCATGTTAGTGTTTTCTGTTTTACTTCGTTGTCTTGCCCAATCAGTTCGAGCTGTGTTGCCACCTGTTCCTCGTTCCCTCATGTTCCCGCCTGTTCCCTCATGTTCCCGCCTGTTCCCTCATGTTCCCGCCTGTTCCCGCCTGTGTATATATAGCAGGGGTCGGTAACCCTGGGCACGAATGGTTAATTGATGGCACGGCACGCAGTGAGTTAATCTGAGAAGGTGCATTAAAAAGATAAATGGCCGGGCCAGCGGTGCACATCACAAATTAGCTCGCATAGACACATTAGTTGTGACTCTTCCTCCTCACCTCCTCCTCACCTCCATCCTCACCCTGTCCTGACGGTATCTTAGCAACCCCAACTACCAGATTCAACTTGTAATTGGCTAAAAATAATTTATTGGTGAGAGGGACGTTGCTAGCTGGCAGTTTTTTCAAGCGATGTTGAAATTTCCACATTCCGACACTTCAAAAGCTTCAGCAGCTCAGCGCAGCATCAGCACCGCGGAGATACACGGATACATCCGTAGACACGAGACAGAATTCACAATGCGTTTTTGGGACTTTCAGGTGTTTGGACCAATGTTTTCTTTTCTGATCAAACCAGAAAGCTTTAGTGAGCAGCTGCATTTGTCTGGATTTGTCTTGCATTAACAAACACAGAGGAGCTGACTGAACTGAAAAGCTCGACTCTGTGGGGTCAAAGTTTGCAGCTGGACTCCACAGCTGTGCGTGTTCATGGAGCTGCATGTTCACCTGCTGGACATCACTACCTGACAAGTTTAACTGTCTTCAGAACATTGCAGAGGCCTTATTGACAGTGTTTGGCTCTACATGTCTGAGTGAGCAGGTTTTCTCTCACATGAGTCCTCAGGTCTGAATGCTGGACACTGGGAGACCTGTGTCTCTGAGTGGGAGCCCAGAGATCACAGTAACATGTGTGTCTCTGTATTAACAAACATGCCATATTGGCCCAGTTTATTTTTCTTATCATTGTTGTGAGGACACCATAAACAGCATTTGTATTTTCTGTTGTTCAGTTCATTTGCTGTTATGGATAAAATGTCTTTTTGTTTAATATCTGATAACTATTCGCTGACAGCTGCCAACATCTGTGCACAAATATAATCCTATAAAATGGTTCTATACACTCAGAAAAATAAAGGTGCCAACTGGAACCAAAAGTGGTTCTTTAGACTGATGCCATAGAAGAACCTTTTTTGGTGCCACAAAGAACCTTTGAAGAACCATTTCTTTCTTTCAGTGGTTCTTCAAAGAACTTTTCAAACAATGGTTGTAGTTCGTCTTCTGCACATTGTAGTTTCAACACGGCAGAGACACCAGTGTAAGGTTGTTCCAGTTCTAAGTGCACTGATGGTGAAGGATCTGTTTCTTTGTTTATTTACTTGTTTGTTTTGTTTCCATGGTTATGGAACATGCTGTTGTTTGTAAACATGATTCAGCTGCTTCAGCTTCTTGTGAAATCATCTCCGATGTGACGCCGCAGAAACTGGAGCTTCAAGTGTCAACACCTGATCATGTGACTGCCTCACGGTGATATCATCACTCATGACAAACAAAAAATAAATAAACAAAAACAAAAAGGACCCTTTGGTGTTGTTCTTAGCTGCCCAACCAGAGTGCGTGCAGAGATGTGAGTGTACTGGAGGACCTCGTCTTATCAGTTACCTTCAGGGTCAAGCCTGGGTTTAGGGTAAATTCTCCTGGCCTGAGAACATCTCAAACACAGACCTGTGGAAGAGAACCAGCCAGAACCCGGTCGGTCAGGACATCAAGAAGAGAAAATGGGGCTGGATAGGCCACAAACCACTCGACAACGTCGCAAGGCAAGCACTGGACTGAAACCCACGAGGAAAAAGGAAAGCAGGGAGACCCAAACAGACGTGGGGAGGATGTGTCGCGAGCGCACTGAAGGCCGCCGGAGTGACGTGGACCCAGAACAGAGTCCGTTGGCGTGGTGTTGTTGCGGACCTGTGCTCTCCCCGGAGTCAACAGGAAAATTGATTGATTTAGGGTAAATCACCATGGCAACATGCTGTGAAGATCCAGATTACAGATCTCCGGGTATGACATCACTGCCTGCTGACCAATCAGTTCTCCAGAAAATACTGTCGCCATTCCTGGAAGATCCCTCACAGCTCTGTGTGCGAACAGTCGGAGGCTGTGAAGTTTTTACTAGTGTGATGTTTTAATAAATAAAACATCACACTATGATGTTAGAAACCAACAGCAGAAAGTGATACAGGTGAGTGCAGGTGTACCTGGTGCTGCCCTGTTTGTACATGTCAATGATGTTCTCCACTAGCAGGTTCCTCTGCAGGCCATAGACACCGTGTCGGTCCAGAACCACCTCATGTCTGCAGGATGGGCAGCGGAAACGACCGCCGGACGTCACAGTGGAGCCACTCCGTGTCGACAGGTACGGGTTGGATGCCTGCAGGGGGCGGGGCATCACACGGGTAAGGAAAGAAAAGACGGTTCGTGAACTGAATTTCTGATGGAAGGTTTTAGACGTTTGTAAGTGAGAGCACAGAGAGCACAATGAAACACAAACAGGCCGACAGGTAAAGCAACAAGCTCCGCCCATCACCCTGATCTGGATAAAGAGGTTAACACCTGGATGTGTCACGGGGTGGAAAGGGACAAGTTTTCTAAGTTTTTCTACTATGCATGTTTTGCTGCGTTTTACCTTTTTAATATTTTAATATTGTACACTGGTTTATTTTTATGAGTTTTACTGCATGTTTTAATGGTATTTATTTGGTGACTTGTCCTGGAAAGACTCCGCCCCTACCTGATAATAAACTGATCACACCTGCGAGAGATCCCAGAGAGGCCAATAAGAGGGCCTGCCAGACCACAGGAAGGAGTTCGACCGAGAGGCAAGAGAGGACCGAAGCATGAAGGCACCCATGAGTGTCACGGGAACCCAGGAGAGCCTGAAGTGACACGGAGGCGTAAGAGATGAGGCCTGAGATACATAAGACTAGTTGGAGCTTGGCGTTCCAGGGAGGACGATACAGCACCAGCGACTAGGGACGCAGAGCGAACAGGCGGATGGCAGTAGCAACGAGAGCCCAGCTTGTGCACTGCGGGAGAGCAGAGGCGGCGAGACAGCTGGTGCCGATTTGCAGTTTTAAAGAAGCGGCGGGCGGAGTTGAGAGCTCTGCCCACCCGGGGTAAGTCTTCGACTTAGCCCCTTTTATTGAATGAAAACTGCCTGAAAAGAATAGTGACTGCCGCTCCCTCCCTTTCTTCAGCGTACCGGGACGCGGAACGCGGAGAGGAAGGCGAGGACTCCGCTGGGTTTCCCTTTTACACCACTTCACTGGACTTTTTTAGTTCTTTGTGACTTTTATACCGTGGCGGCTGCCACTGGACTTTTAATGTTGTGTTTTATTGATTTTTGTGTTACCCCTTGGCCAGGGTTGTTTTAATTCATTTAACTATTTAAATATAATAAATTATATTGTAATTATACAGATTTTATTCGTGTGCTTTCCCTTGTCGGCTCCACTGCTCTGTCCGTTTGGAGGAAGGTTTCCTTCCTTTAAAAAAAAAAAAAAAAAAGACACTGTGGAAATAAAATCACTTTCGCTCCGTTACAGATGGAAGAAGAAGAAGCTTCATCTACAGGTACGAACAGCAACACGAGAGGTGTGCGTGTGTGTGTGTGCGTGCGTGTGTGTGGTCACATGGGGCAGGAAGTGAGGTAAACAGCTGAGTCCTTTCAGTCTCAGAGTGCACATACACCCAGTAATAAAAACTATAATGAATAGTATAGAGAGAGTACTCAGTACATCCCCATGTGTACAGGTGTGTATTTATACTGGCTGTTTTTCACAGAGCCTCATGGAGGAAGAGCAGCTGAGTTGAAGGTTTACCTGCTCTCAAAAAAACATCCTCACCGACCGCCATCAGCCCGTGGGCCACACTTTGGACCACTACACAAATGATCCTCCTTCAAACTGCCTGATTTCAGACGGGATAACTGTTCTTGAACGCACCAATGAGCCGGGTTTTTGGTGTGTTCAAGGACAACCCTGTAACATGAATTCTGAACGATCCTGCCACCTGTGTGTGTGTGTCTCACCTGGAAGACGTCGTTGGCACACTTGCGGCACAGGTTGTGTTGGCACGGCAGGATGACCACCGGCTTGGTGAACATCTCCAGGCAGATGGGACAGATGAGCTGCTTCTCCAGACTCTCCATGACGCTGAGGACGCCGGGGAGACGCCGGCGAGGACAGAGAGAGGTGTCCCAGAGGAGACAGGAGCTGAGCACGAGCAGCTGAGGAGTGTGTGAGTGTGTGGGGCCTGCAGCAGCTCTCAGACTGTTTTTAGACGGCAGACGTCAGCTGTTACCGTGCAGACATGCCCTTATATGTTAAAGGTCAGGGGGGACGCATGAGAGGGGGAGGGAGACAAATGAGGGGAGATGATAAAGCACAACAGGTCTGGTTAAAGGGACAGTCCACCACAGTCTGTAGAGCAGCCGAAGAGGCCACAACTCCCCCTGCTGGCAGGTTTTTAATGATCAGCTGTGCGGACAGAGCGATCGGAGGTCTTCAGACGAGTCTGAGTGACGAGCAGGAGGTTTTGTTTAGCGTGCAACACGAAATATGAAGGCTGAAACCAACAAAGAAGAAATATGGAGGCTGACAGAGACGTACCGAGTTACACCTCATTAGTCATTCACCTGCACTATAAACCTGCAGTTCCTCTGACGTCCAGACTCAGTGGTGGCAGCACTGAGTCTGTCCCCATAGACTCCTGTGTTAAAATCAACAGCTTGAAGCTAACACTGCTGTGGTCTATAGATACTTTACCCTCCATAACACCAGTATAACTTACCTGCATTATTAGGGGCGTGGCCTGTGTGACTGACAGGTGGATGGTGACACAAATAGCTGTAGCTGCTAGTTTCACCTGAACCAGGCCTGTGGGCCGGGTTTGTGCTGTTGGAGCCTTTTGCTTTTTACTGACATCACCAACAATACGGCTGCTGTGAGGTCACTGCACTAACAGAGCGTCCAAGAAGGCGGAGCAAGTGTTTGATGAGGGAAACTCGAGGAATCTGAATGTTAATGATTAGCAGGGGTTTGAGTCTGTGTGATGCTAATATGGTGTTATGTCGGTGGTCCAAACAGTTTAAACCTCAAAAAAAAAAAACTCATTCACAATCGGGACAAAAAGAGAGGGGCGGAGCTTCCAGGTGACTTGACCACAGGTGTGTCATCAGGTTTATTTGAGTTCACAGATGACAACAAATTAAAAGAAACAAACTTCAAACTGAAACATTATTTACATCATCATGTGACATCCGAAGCTCCACCTCTTCTTCCCAAAAACAACCAATCACAGCATTGCTTCAGCTACAATAATAACTGAACAGCAGGTGATGAAGATGGTCTCCTCACAGGACACTAAAACACAGAGACAGTTGCACACAGGAGGACTTTGGTGGTTTCCTGTCCTTGGAGGAAGATAGAAACAGAAACTCAGAGTAAGCTTTAAACTGGAGGAGCTTTCCTGCTGCCGCGCTTCACGGTGGGGCTACAGCTTGCGGTCGTAGACGGAGTGATGCATTTCCCGTCTTCATGTGTAGGTGTCCCCGTACCTGCGGTGGCCATCGCCAATCAGCTGAGTTTTCTCGCTGGCATTCGTCGGCTGGTGGACTATCGGAGCCTCGATGTCTGCAGTAAAAACAGAAAGTCAACAAAAGTCAGCGAAGGTTCTCGGTCACGCAGGTTGTGGTGGTCTAAAGAGCTCGCACAGACTCGCACTTCCTTGTTCACGTTTCATCTGGGAAGCTTCTTCCGCTCTAAGAGCCATCAGTGGAGAGTGGTGGGTAGTTACAGTATTTTACAGCCGCTAGGACACATTTCTCAATACTTAGGTCACTTTTGCAAAACTCTTCACACAATCCTCCTAACTGACCGTCAGCTTGGCAAAGCAGCTCATTTCACATTCAAAATGCACCACAACTACCAAAACACTTCATTCAGGTCTCAAATAAACTCATTCTTCCAGAACACTAGCAAAGGTTGACAGCCGACAAACACACTTTGTCACCCACAAAACAATGACCTAAAAAACACTAACAACATGTAGCATTACAGTGTTTTCTTGTGTAAAACAAGGACACATCTCTGTTTATAATTTCAATATATGTTACTGGAATGAATCAGACATCATGCAGAATTCGTTAATATTTGTTTATGTATTTTATTTTTTTGCACTAAGTAATCCCAAAATACAAGAATCTGTATACACACCATCCACTGATACACATACAATAGTAATGCTAATCTACTCGGTCTCCTCCATTTGGCCACAGGTTCTCATCCACATCACATCTCATGTCATCGAGGGCAACACACCTAGGAAAGAATCTTCTGGCTGCCAGAATTGAAGGAGTTGAAAGATTGAAGGAGTAACACCTGTGCAGATGTTCATCTACAATGAGAATCAGCTGTGGCTGGGTAAACTGCATTTTTAGATTTAAAATATGTTTCAATAAAATATTGCTGTTGCATTTTGCTGTCTTTTTAAGTTTTGCATTGTGTTATTGTTTTGGCCATAAGTTTAACAGTTTTGAAAACAGTATGTAAGCACATGCAAAATGTCCTGTACGTACAAAGGTTTTTGGCAGTTGTTGTGTCTGAGTGAGAAGATAATTCATGAAATTTGAGAGATGAAGTCATTGAATGCATTTTGTGCCAAAACAATGATAACTGGTCCTCAGTTTAGCCCACATAGACTTCTGTTGTGCTCACTGTGTGAGGAGTTTTGCAAAAGTGACCTAAGTATTGAGAAATGTGTCCTAGCGTCTGTAAAAAACTGTAAGCCCTATGGGAGGGTCCTAGACCCGCTGTTGATCCTTTGCCTAATCACACGAGCCCAGGTGTGTGTCCACAAACACAAACCTGCTCTCATTATATTTGTAATTACACTTCCTTCTATTTAAAAATGACTGACTGCACCTTCAAACATCAAAATAAAAGCTAAACACTTCCTGTCACCTCACCATTTTCGGGTTCGTTGCGGATCTCCTCCTCCAGGTCGTCGGGGGAGGCGTAGTCTGGCTCCGCCCCCTCTCCTGTGGGTGGCGGCTTCAGTTTGCCGCAGCAGCAGTTGCAGCAGCAGCAGAGACAGCAACAGCAGTAAAAGCCGGTGATGATCCCACAGAGCACGAACAGACCCTGAACACAAACACACCGTCAGCTCACGCCTCCTCACACCACCTCTATTCACACAGCTAGAGTGGAAGCTCCGCCCCACCTTGGCCCACCAGGTGGACAGCATGAAGTATGTGTTGACGTTGTCCTCTCCAAACTGCTGGGCCACGTAGAGTCCCAGCGAGCCATATGAATCGTAGATGTTTCTCTTGGTGAGGTCACTCAGGACGGCGTGGGCGCTGTTCAGCTCCTTGAACTTCTCCGCTGCCTCCGGGTTGTCCGGGTTCTTATCGGGGTGGTACCGCAGCGCCAGCTTCCTGACATCACACGGAGGTGTTAGTATTCACTTGCTGAGGTCAGAGAGTCTAGCTCTGCCCTCTGATTTCATCAGCAGAGCCATTAGTGCGCAAGCTGAACGTCACGCTCGCATCTTAAATCGTGTCATCAAACGTGGGCGGAGCTGGTGTAGGCTCACCTGTACGACTTCTTGATGTCGTCATGGCTGCAGCCTTTCTCCAGCCCCACGATGTGATACAGAGACTCTCCAGAGGTGGACAGAGCGCGCTGCCTGCCGTCAGACATCCTAAAACCATCACCTGTCGCAGGTGAGCAAACCACAGTGTCACACACGCGGTCACAGGGAAAGATAAACGCCAGGGAACACGCTCCGTAGGGTAAAGGTCAGTGAAAACCTTTTAGTGACAGCAGTGAAAGTTTATTAGTTCATGGATCAGAAGAGAAAACGTGAGGAAAAAGTGAGAATCGTTTTAACGTTTCCTGCGGGGTTAAAGGTCACTGTTTCCTGCTCGTTGTTCCTGTGGTTTTTTATTAGGCAGAAAAAAGTGTCTGACTTTTAACTGAAGAAGAAGAAAGTGAACAAATAAATAACATAAACGTGTCGTTACTGCCGCACTAAAAAACTCCAGAAACACACAAAACAATGTCGGCTATGTGCCGAACACGGAGTCGAATGAGATGAAATGACGAAATGAAACCAAACGTAGATGCAGCTCTATAAAAATCAGAAACAGAAAAATGTAATTTAAAAATAAAATGTTCGCCCAAAGAGAAACAGTAAAAATTCTACAGAAAGAAGAAAAGTGGTCACTTTATTAGTTCAGTGCACAAACCCAACCTCACCACTTCGGCTGCAAATAGAAACATGTCTCCTTCACGTCAAAATAAAACCAAATAGAAACGCGTCTGCTTCACGTCAAAAAAACCCAAATAGAAACATGTCTCCTTCACGTCAAAATAAAACCAAATAGAAACGCGTCTGCTTCACGTCAAAATACCAAATAGAAACATGTCTCCTTCACGTCAAAATAAAACCAAATAGAAACGCGTCTGCTTCACGTCAAAATAAACCAAATAGAAACATGTCTCCTTCACGTCAAAATAAAACCAAATAGAAAAGCGTCTGCTTCACGTCAAAATAAAACCAAATAGAAACATGTCTGCTTCACGTCAAAATAAAACCAAATAGAAACATGTCTGCTTCACGTCAAAATAAAACCAAATAGAAACATCTCCTTCACGTCAAAATAAAACCAAATAGAAACATGTCTCCTTCACGTCAAAATAAAACCAAATAGAAAAGCGTCTGCTTCACGTCAAAATAAAACCAAATAGAAACATGTCTGCTTCACGTCAAAATAAAACCAAATAGAAACATGTCTGCTTCACGTCAAAATAAAACCAAATAGAAATCGTCTGCTTCACGTCAAAATAAAACCAAATAGAAACGTCTGCTTCACGTCAAAATAAAACCAAATAGAAACATGTCTGCTTCACGTCAAAATAAACCAAATAGAAACACGTCTGCTTCACGTCAAAATAAAAACAAATAGAAACACGTCTGCTTCAGGTCAAACTAAAACACAAATAGAAATTAAGATACGAGCGTGACGTTCAGCTTGTGCACTAATGGCGCTGCTAATAAAATCAGAGGGCAGAGCTAGACTCTCTGACCTCAGCACGTGAATACTAACACCTGCGTGTGATGTCAGGAAGCTGGCGCTGCGGTACCACCCCGATAAGAACCCGGAAATCCCGGAGGCGTCAAAATAAAACCAAATAGAAACGAGTCTGCTTCACGTCAAAAAACCCCCAAATAGAAACACATCTGCTTCAGGTCCAAATATAACCAAATAGAAACACATCTGCTTCAGGTCAAAATAAAACCAAATAGAAACGCGTCTGCTTCAGGTCAAAATAGAAACGCGTCTGCTTCAGGTCAAAATAAAACCAAATAGAAACACGTGCTTCAGGTCAAAATAGAAACACGTCTGCTTCACGTCAAAATAAAACCAAATAGAAACGCGTCTGCTTCAGGTCAAAATAAACCAACCAAATAGAAACACTCTGCTTCAGGTTTCAAATTAAAACCAAATAGAAACACGTCTGCTTCAGCTCAAAATAGAAACACGTCTGCTTCAGGCCAAAATAAAAAACAAATAGAAACCGTCTGCTTCAGGTCAAAATAAAACCAAATAGAAACGCGTCTGCTTCAGTCAAAAATAGAAACACATCTGCTTCAGGTCAAATAAAACCAAATAGAAACACGTCTGCTTCAGTCAAAATAGAAACACGTCTGCTTCAGGTCAAAATAGAAACACGTCTGCTTCAGGTCAAAATAAAACCAAATAGAAACGCGTCTGCTTCAGGTCAAAAAAAACAAATAGAAACACGTGTGCTTCAGGTCAAATTAAAACCAAATAGAAACACGTCTGCTTCAGGTCAAAATAGAAACATGTCTGCTTCAGTCAAAATAAAACCAAATAGAAACACGTCTGCTTCAGGTCAAAATAAAATAGCGTCTGCTTCAGGTCAAATTAAAACCAAATAGAAACACGTCTACTTCAGGTCAAAATAGAAACATGTCTGCTTCAGTTCAAAATTAAAACCAAATAGAAACACGTCTGCTTCAGGTCAAAATAAAATGCGTCTGCTTCAGGTCAAATTAAAACCAAATAGAAACACGTCTACTTCAGGTCAAAATAGAAACATGTCTGCTTCAGTTCAAAATAAAACCAAATAGAAACACGTCTGCTTCACGTCAAAAAAAACGTCTGCTTCAGGTCAAAATGAAAACAAATAGAAACGCATCTGCTTCTGTCAAAATAAAACCAAATAGAAACACGTCTGCTTCAGGTCAAATTAAAACCAAATAGAAACACGTTTGCTTCAGGTCAAAATAAAACCAAATAGAAACACGTCTGCTTCAGGTCAAAATAGAAACACGTCTGCTTCAGGTCAAAATGAAACCAAATAGAAACGCGTCTGCTTCAGGTCAAACTAAAAACCAAATAGAAACGCGTCTGCTTCATATCAAAATAAAACGCATCTGCTTCATGTCAAAATAAAACCAAATAGAAACGCGTCTGCTTCACGTCAAACTAAAAAACAAATAGAAACGCATCTGCTTCAGGTCAAAATAAAACGCGTCTGCTTCAGGTCAAAATAAAACCAAATAGAAACACGTTTGAGTTTCAGGCCATCGGCGCGAACATCTCCACAGACGGTTCGAATGCCTCGACCTGCCACGACGTGCCTGTTATTACATCAGCAGGCCAGAACCACTTGATGTGAGCCCCTCACAGATATGAGGTTTTCATGGGACACTGGTGACCCTGTACCTGATGATGTCACACAGGTGGGTAGCGGCAGGATCGACATATACAGAAGGGAAAGAGTGAGAGAGCTAAAGAGCCATTACCTGCCTGCCGAAGCCTTGCAGCGTCCCGACCCAGTTGCTACCTGCTCAGGTGTTCCTACTTCGACCTGCAGCTCGAAGCTTCTACCTGCTCAGGTGTGCCTGCTGACAGCCTCCATCAAACATTCAGCAGCGGTTCGGATCGGGTGACTGCGAGCCTCCACGCCTGCTCGGGTTTCTCCGACACGCTCTGACGGATTCATTGTGACGTGGAGGGAGAGATGTTACCATGGCGACCAGGTGAGTCAGGAGGGGACGGGGCAGGTGCTGTAAGTGGATGCAAAGGCTGACTTCTTTTTGCTGGAGCTCCAGCTGTGTGAGATGCACCAGGCAGAGGAACACCTGACACACCTGGTTCCAGAAAACGGCGCCAACACAAACTCTTCACTTTAGCTTTGAGCTAATGTGACCTGTACAGGTGTGCCCTACCTGCCACCCTGTGACAGCCGTGACAAGTCTGAATAAAAGAGAAACCTTTGACCTTTGACCTCTGATCTCTGATCTCTCAACGTCTGCTTTAAATCATTAGGCCGTCAGACTGAAACAGCCTTCGTTCCTTCGTTAAATCAAAGTGCCTTCTCCTTTCCACAATTAACAAAGTGCTTACCATGAACAACACTCGGACCCACAGTGGGCCCTGTCCTGTGGGGTCCCAGTAAAAAGTGGTACTGGATAATGTTTTCTTTCTTTCACACGGTTTAGGGATGAAAACCACCTGCGAGCCAAAATGCATGACTCTGCAGACTGAACTAGAACTCAGGAAACAGCTTTGATGATGAAACGTCACTGCATAAAAACTCGGGTAAAGCAGCAGGGAGAAAAAAGTCATCCTGAATTCAGGAACCACACAGGTACCACATGACAAAGGACACTCACACAGTATACACACATCAGGTAACCAGCGAGACAGAAGGACTATCAAAATAAAAGAACTAGCACAGATACTACTGCGGACTGGTATATGTGTTTATCTTCTGTCCCTCAGACAGACCCCGGGGGCGACTGGCATCCTCCTATCCATGTTCTATGGAGAGCATCCTGTGCTGCTGCCTCCATGTGATTTTCCAGCTGAGACTGAGACTCGGGTGGTCTTTACCCGCTCTCGACGAATCGCACCGCTCTCGCCGTCTCAGAAAAGCAGTAAATATCAAAGACTCGTCACAGCACGTTCATAATCTGTTCACACTGCAGCTGTGAGGCAAACAATACAGGAGCATCAGAGCAGAGACAGCAGTTTCTACCTGGAGCTGATCAGCCGATGGCATCCTGTGTAATACTGTTTATGTGCAATATAGCTTCTTTCTTATGTTGAATGACCGTGTTCAAGCTCATTTTTTATATTATTCTCGTAATTTAAACTTTTAACGACTTTTTGACCGCAGTGTAACAGTGAGCAGGTCAGTGTGAGCATGACAACAATGGTGAACTCCATCACTGATGCATGCTCCAACATCCAGGTAAGGAAACTTACTGAGGTAGCAACTCTGTCCGAATTCTCCGGATCACCAGGGGTACAGCTGGCAGACAACACAACCAAGCCGTACTTCATCAGCCCGGCTGTCGGTGCACAGCTCAACACAAACCATTCTGCCAGCAAAGACACCCACAAATATCTCTGGACCGAGCTGACCTTTGAATAAGGATTCTAAGCTAGCTACCATATGGCTTTAGCTAGCAAGTGAAAAACTGAATCAGTGTGGGATTTAAATACAGTACAGAATGATATCAGCAGAACCCCACACCGCCCTCTACCGTGCCTAGTGACAACCCACCCCCGTTTACCTAAATCATACATCTGTGCTCGCTGCATCTCAGTGTGACGTTCACCTGAAGCTGCTCAGGTAAGATAACGGAAATCATGCCGCGTACAATAAAAGACACACAGACTGGTTTGGAGGATAATACTCGTGTTTACTGACAGAGAACTGTTAGTGCAAGCTTTACAACAGGAAGACGCTCTGCGAACAGAAACCCAGGCGTACGAAACTTGAAACGCTACAGTGGGGCGGAGCCACCAATCACCACGCAGTTCCCGCTCACACAGGCATCTGCAGCTGGGAGTACTCGTCCTGCCCCTCCTTCTCCTCCAGAGTGGGCTCCACGTCATCAGCGTCTAGCTGCAGGAGCAGAGGTCAAAGGTCAGGACGATGGCGCAAATGTTTTAATGGAGCTGAAAGCTTTAAGTTTGGAGCAGAAGTGGTTAACAACGTCACACCGCCTCTGCAGGTGAGTGCTACCTGTGTTGTTATCACAGCTCAGTGCATTAAAACTCTAACAACCAATAAAAGTATTTTTATCATCAGCCTGAAATCTGATTGGCTGCTGAGAGAATTCTGGTTGAAGATGTGCCGTTTATGTGTAGGTTGGGTTCAGCGATCAGATCGTGTGACTCACGCTCTGCAGCTCTCGGCGGGAGAAGAGGCGGGGCAGCAGCAGCATCCTCACGGGGATGGTCAGCAGCAGCATGAAGGGGAAGGCCAGCGCTGCCGCTGTCGCCATGACGACCCACAGCAGAGCCAGACATGTCAGCTGGACGAGAGTGAAAAGGTGCATCCTCAAAGTCCGCACCTGTGAGACAGCAGAGGACAGGTGAGAAGTTGGTACGGCGGTTCAGACCGATAGCGCCGACGTCGGAGGCTGAAGCTTGACCTGGAAGCTCACCTGAAGGATTCGTCTGTGACAGCGGGGGGAACGTCCAGGTTTCTATATCCTGTTGTGTTTGCCTCATAAAGCTGAGTACACACCCACTCTGATCACCTACAGTATAATACTGACCGCTCTCGCTGTTGTTTGCTCGTTCCAACAGTCGGAGGTCAAACCTGTGGCTCAGCTGAGAATTATCAGACTATCTGGATTTGTTTGACAGAGTTTATAGATGTGAAATTATTTTGTACCTTTATTAATCGAGTATGACTGTCTGCACAAAGCTGGTTACAGTTTGGATATTTTCGTCTGTTTGTACATAATCTGTTCATAACTACTGGGCGCCCGCTCAACGCAGTGAGCTAAACCGGCACCCGTGAGCAGACACGCCGGCAATACCTGCATCAGCATGCAGTTTTCCCTGCAGTGTTTGTGAGCCACAGGGAATGACTGACCTTGCGGACGTAGTTGTGGTTGGGGTGGTATTTTGGGGGCATCAGCAGCAAGATGAGTCGCTCAGTGAGCTGGATCCCATTCAGGGACATCACACCCATGTAGAGGAAGATCCCGAACAGGACTGCCAGCGGGATCTGACGCAGAACTTCGCCGATGACGATGGACAGACCTGACAGAGCAGACAGCAGGTCAGACGTCGCAGCAGCACACTGCGAGCAGCAGAAGCGGCACTGATACGCTCTACGGTAGTCGTACCTACTAGAAACGCCACCAAGAAGCCCGTCACCCTCTGCTCCTTCACCTCCTGGATGCGAGGCTTGTCTCCAGGGGCAACGGCTTTACTCATGACGGTCAGGGCATTGGTGTGAGTCACAGACCGAACTGTGGCGGCCGACAGCCAGGGCAGGCCGAACAGAGCCGAGACTCCGCCTACCACCACGATGATTAAAAGATCCACGTGAAAACCGGTTCCCTTCACCAGCATCCTCTCCTTCTTACTCACGATCAACCTGCAGGATAGCGCAGGAAAATGAAGGTCAGGGAAGGAAAACGGAGCAACCTCAAAGACTCAAAGACGAGGCTCAGAGTCAAGTAAGAATAGAAAAGAATAGAAAAGAGAGACTTTACTTGGGACCAAGAGTCAAATAAGAATAGAAAA